CCCTGCTGCACCCCCTTTAACCCTTACTGTACTGGGGGGGGGGGGGGCCTGGGAAACCCCCCTCAACATTTTCGGATATTGCGCCACAACTGCTTGGAATTTTGAATTGTCATTTCTAATTATTTTCCCTCAAGTCTTACGCACATTTTGATACCATTTTCGTTGAAATCGATATACCTTTAAGGTGTTATGTAACAATTAGTATGCGCATGTCATCAAAAGTATGCTATAATTGCATATATTCATGTACAAGCAGAAATGTGAATACAGGTTTAGATGTGTTTCTTCCTAAGTGGGAGATATGAATTGATATCAAATTGATTTTGTAGGTTTTCTCAAAGTAACTTGATGTATTCCAGAACAAAAGAATACATTAGAAATAAAACAATAGATATAATAAGAAATAAAAAAAAAACAGTAAAATACAAAAGAAAATAAATATTTGAAAATCGCATCAAATTTGCATAAATTATCATTATTAATTACATCAAATTAACTATTTTGTGTTAGAAAAGTTTCATATGAATAATGAGTTTCCGATTAACATTCAAAAAGTGGAGTCTGACAATTTTTGTAATTCTAGTTCCCTGTATATTTCCAGATTTGATATTCAAGAATGCATATTCATAATTTATGCAAATTAACCTATGCATTTTCAAATTTCATGAAAATAATGTAATCATGAATTTGAGATGAAGGAAACATTTAGCAAATACATTTTTAACATTCTTCACAAATATGTAGAGTTTTCTGTAAAATGCATAAAATTAGCATTTTTTATGATGAATTACGCTATAATGAGAAAAATTTGCATATTAGGAAAAAACTAATTATACCATCTTGTTTCTTATGTAAATATCTACAAACATGCAAATTTCAAACTTTCTTCTTTTTAATCAATTTTTGCTCAAACTTTAACTGACCTGTTTCTCTCATTTTCCTCCTTCGATTAAAACCGACTTAATATCAGGGTAGACTCCCCCTTAAATTGTCTACCGGTATACTAATATCAAATCCTGACGTATACTGACCTACAATGGATAATGATCACTTATAATTCAATTGATTGGATTAGTACGTAAAATCAATATGTGATAATAGTTTTATAGGATATATTTCCACATTTTACAGCAAAAATCTGAAGTGAAAACTAGTATGTTTCCTAGCTGCCCTCAGGGGTGGATCCAGTTGGCGCGTGGGGGACACGCCCCTCCCCCTTCTACCTTCCAATTTATTTATTTTTAATACCTGAATAAATGTTCAGTTCATTCTTTCAGAATGCCTCAGAATGTACCGTAGAGCATCTTAATGTTCAAAATTTTCATGGACCCCATGACGTTAAAAAATCCTGGATCTGCCCCTGGTCCTCCTGTCAAAATTGTATGAGACAAGTCCCTCCCCCCATGGAGCCCATCACAAAATGTATGACTGTCTCTTATTTCTTCCATAGATATTAAATTCTCAATTGCGACTTCTATTACACTGACATACCCACTGGCCTACTCTATTTACACTCGTGATGTTACATGGCGGATCACAAAGGAAAAAGGCTTGTACAACGGTTACTTCGTCAATGTCCTCGTGCTTCTATTGGGCCAGATGAGCTCATTGGTTATAGGACTAGGAATGGATGATAGCCTTCCTGAAACACGGGCCATGATCTTTTACTCACCACAGTCGAATTTGTATTTTATATCAGAAGCATTGTGGGTTCGCCTACACTCATATGAATCCACGAATGCAACATTCGAACTCTCAGTTGCACCTTATGACTTTACTGGTAAGTATTTAGAGTAAGAATTAGCCTCAAAGTTATGCCATTGTATTCAAAATTGATATGATAGCAAAGACTTTCGAAAGTCAACTGAAGGTTTGATAATTTTAGTATATATAGTATATATCCCATAAATCGTCCTTGTTTTCACGAAGTGACGGTAGTGAGGAAAATCGTAACGCAAAGTGAATGCAATTTTTTTTCACTACCGTCACTTCGTGAAAACAGCGACGAAATGTCAAATGTGAATTATATATATATATATATATATATATATTCATAGTAAATGCTAAGACTCGGCATGGCTTTTGATTTTTCAAAAGTCTTTGTGATTGTGCTGATGAAATTTTTCATACAAGAAGCCATTATTATTTCATTCATACACAAAAAGGAAATTCAGCATTTGAAAGCGTGTAGTTTGCTGCTAAAGAGCCCTAATTTGTTTGTCAGTTCTACTATTTTTAGCTCATCCGGTCCGTCCACAGTTTTCAAAATGCTTCTTCGTTATTTTTCAACTGATTTTGATTCTGATTGTTTCATATGGTAGGGCTAGGAGGGGGATTTAAAACTTCTACACAGAATCGTGAAATTCATTATCTATGCTAATTTATGCAAATTTATTCGAAATCACAAAAAATGCTTCTTCATTTCTCGACCGATTTTGATTTGGTTTGCTTTATCTGGTAGAGCTAACTTTGGAACACTAAACTTCTACACAGAATTTTGAGATTTTGCTCCATTGATTATTTATGGTACTTTATGCAATTTTTTTCCAAAAAATGCTTCTTCTCCTTCATATTTCGATCGATTTTGATTTGATTTGCTTTATATCATAGAGCTAACTTTGGTACACTATACCTCTACGCATAATTTTGAAATTTTTCTCCATTAATTAAAATAATAAGCAATGTCCTTACATTATTCTTGTATGAAGTGTGAAGTCTTATTAGGAAACAAGAACTCCTGTGAATAATATGATTTGTGATCCGCCTCCATGTCGCGGGTGCCGGGCAACATTTTGCACTTGAAAGAATATTACAACTATATGTAAATACTCGGTGCAAAGTGGCTGAAGGGTCACAGTGTTTTGTGTTCTCTTCCACTTTATGCATGCTTTTTTATTGTTTCGGTTATAAAGAGTATTCAATTTGCCATAAAAGATTTTTACTCACTAACTCCTCTTCTTCAAAAAACTCTGTTCTCTTATTGTTTTCTCTCAAAGGGAGTAGCATTTCATCAAATAGCCCTTCTCAAATTGTATGGGATGTTACATTCTATGGCAGATATTTCGCAATGAGCTTTGGATACAATTCTTGTGAATAATAGGATGTGTGATCGGCCTCCAAGTTGCGGTGGTTGGCAACATCTTGCACTCAAGGCAAGCACAACATCCAACACACCTGAGTGCAAAATGGCTGAAAGATCACAATATTTAATTTTGTTTTAATTCATCAGTATTATGCATGCATTGTTTTCATTCTCTTGTTACCTCCTAATTCTTCAATTTGTTTAAATATTTTAACAATTTTCTCACACTAACTCATTTTTTCCCCTTACAAAATTGTTATTTTGCCATATTTTTCTGTTGACAATTTACTGACTATTTATACCTCTGTCCTTTTCTTATCATAATAAAAGGTGAGTATGTTTTATCTCTTACTAAGTTCGAGTCCTGCTTGTCATAAAACTATATATTTTTCAACCAATTTTCATTCCATTTCCTTTAGTTTCTATTTAATCTTGTACAGCTAAATGAAATTATGTCCCTTCCAGGGCATCAAATTTTTATTTTTTGACCAGTTCAAAAGTGTACCACATAAAATTTACGGTATTTGTTGTTGCGAGATGCGGATGAGCACTAGGTCATTGACGTTCTGGTTTAATGTTGTATACTGGTAGTTGTTAGTTTGTTATTATTACTATTATGACAATATATGTTTGTATTTTATACATGTTCAAAACGTATACACAGTTTTATTTATCTGCAAATATTATGGAAAACTATTTCCACATGTTGGAATGATAAAATGGAAAAAGAAATGAATAGGAAACAGTTTCATGCCTTTTATGCCTCCGTTACGAAGTAGCCAGAGGCATTATGTTTTCGGGTTGTCCGTCCGTCCGTACATTGTACGTCCCATTCTCGTGATCGCGTTATCTCAAGAACCGATTGCATGGCCAATGAACTGATTAGCGGAGGCATAATTTTTTACTTAAGCATAAGGACATAAGGAAAATAATCTTCTGTAAAGTTTGCTTGTATCTTTTTGCTTATGAACTTTAATGATAAGATGTGTATAGCAATTCTTTTCATGTTTCTATGATAATAGGAGGCCCACTTCTGTGCAGTGAGGGCCGTGTGAACATCAGCAGTAATGGTATTTGTGATGGAGAGAAACAGTGCATTGATGGAAATGATGAAAGTAATTGCCCTCGGCCTCGTAAGTCATAAAAATTCATGTTCTTTAAAATGCTATACTGAATACTAGTAATGCTGTTACACTTTTGAAGACAAATTTAGAAGGCATCCTGATTGGATGACTATGTAGTAAATGGTGTAATATGGGACTTTGGACATTTACAATTGTTTGTAGAATTGATGTGAACTTTTCATTGGAAATTTTTGAAGGGCATGGAGAGATATGCATGCATATGTGACAAAGTTATTTGATTCGAAAAGAGCTATATACCTTTTCCTTCGGGTACATTTGGAAAATGAGAACATACCCTTCTCATATGATCAATACTGCGATGTAATTCACAAAGAGTGAGATATCATTACAATTTTTCATAGTCCCGTGATACCGCATTAACAAGCATTATGCCCTTCACAAAACAGGCCCCTTCTGCAAAGTGGACCAAGAGAATGGTACTATATATGACCACTATATGAAGATTAATGTTCATATTCATTTGACATAAAGAAATTTCCATTAAATTCAATTTGTAATTGTAAACAACAAAAAACAGACGTGGCGAAAGTCTGAAGACAAATGTCATATTCACAGTAAAATCCAAGAAAACATGAAATAACTTTATGAAATGTACATTAACATAATTATAATAGTTCAATGATATTAAAGTGAAAAGGATAAAATGTCATAATGAGATCATGTTATAAATTAATAAAAAAAAATTGCTCAATATATTTTGATGGTGTGTGTAGGTCTTCTTTCCTGTATGTCATTCACAAAATAACCTCCTTTTGCATTGCTTTCTTTCAAAGTTTTCCCAGAAGAGTGTGGGTTGCGCCCTGCCCTGGACGTACATCGTGTCACACACGGATCAGAGGTTACCATCCTGGGAGAAGCCCCATGGCAAGTTGCCCTCTACGCGAACGGTGTTCGATTTATATGTGGTGCAAGTATCATTGCCAATGATTGGATCCTCACTGCAGCACACTGCGTGTAAGCTATAACAGCGTTTTTTTTTTTTACCGTTGCACTCTAGGCAACATTTGCTTTGTGCATGTTAACCACTTACCCCAAATGAGCTTACAAAGCCACTTTGTACATGCACCAGTTTAGATTCGAACATGGATCAGTAACTTGTTGCATTGTTTGCACTGTATTCGGCCAATTGACAATTATTGTACATGTTAGACAAGTGATCAGACAAATGATGCCTATATATAGATGCCATTTTGATTGTGTTAATACCTGCATTGATATTGAGCCTGTGAAAGCAATTAACCCAGAACAATGTTCGTACTTTTCAATTTCACTCTTACTTTTTGTACAACACTCTCACATATTCTATCTCCAAGATTTCTTGCCAGTCACTAGCTGACACAGTCGTGTTCAACGGGTATTATGGTTGTACAGTGTACATGATTTGTAGTGTCATCTGTAGTGATGGGTACAAAACCAGTGAGATCAAAACTCGCCCAGATAGTTCATAGGAAAAATAATTTAGCCTTTGGCCCGCCGGGCTTACAGCATCAAATTTGTAGACATTGGGACATTTGTCGGTAATTGGTGGCTAGTTTTGTTTGTAATTGGTGGCCTCCCACTGAAAAAGGTCTAGTGACGCCCCTGTGCAGAGTTGCACATAGTATATATTGAGACAGTACTCAGTTGTCTTCAGAATGACATCCTTTGTGCCCTTGATAACAGACAAGCTGTGTTCTTACTAATGCTTGTCGACCTTTCATCTGCGTTTGACATTGTGGACAACACAATTTTGTCAGGCTTGCCAACAAATTCAGTCTACACGATAATGTTCTTTCCGTGTTCCTAGCAACAGGTCAAAGCATAGGGTTCATATAAAGGGATCCTTTTCTAGTGACCGACTACTGGAATTTGGTCTATAATGGAGCCACAGTTATTTATATACCACATTCGATGCAAGCATTAAATCATAAGTCTGCATTCAGTTTATTATCATGTATATGCAGATAATATTTTACCATTATATTCGACCCTCGGAAAAAAACCATTTGAATTGGCTCAATGACCATCCCTTTTCCACTGATCCCCAATTCTTCTACAATTAGAGATCTGGGCCTAGTGTTCGACCACGTTACCTAATATGTTGTGACCTTCTTCTTAATTTGTTGATTGACTATTAATTAAGGGATAGCACCTTATATCCTCTGGAAAAGGTGCTATATAAATCCAATTATTATTATAATCAGAACATGATTTTTGAAAGGCACAATAATAGGTATACAGTTGCTCTTGAGAACATTTTTCCTTGAATCATGTTTGTTTTTCTTTGTGCAGGGAAGACTTCTACTGGGACTCTCCATTTCAAATTCAAGCAGGAACGCTTACTCATGATACAGCAGGGCAGGTCCATGAAGTATCTGAGATATTTAAACACCCGCTGTTTGACTCATTTTCACTTGGATATGATATTGCTCTCCTCAAGCTATCAACTCCGCTCAATTTCACGGATGCTGTCCAGCCCGTATGTCTGCCCCCTCCAGGGGATCATCTTCCTGAAGTGGGTTCCTATGTCACGTTTACAGGATGGGGAAGCTTTGGCGAGATGCGTGGTAGGATTATAATCACACTTTCTACAACTTACTTAGATATGTTGTTCATATCACAGATAAAAATGAAAACAGTTTAATGTAATTTTGGGAAGTTTTAATCACTACATATATGTGGGAACTTCAAATTGGCTGAATCTATAAGTCCCAGACAACTTTCCATTTTTGTTTCAACTCATAAAATGACTAACATGTCAATTTTTCAAAATATATGACTCATTACGGTCTTTTCTCTTCAGAGGACCTATAATAATATGCTATCCATAATATATGTTTAGTTTTGCCAAAGGGAGAACGCACTTCTCAATGATATTTGTGTACACTACAAATGGGAGGGTTTAGTTGTCCATGGCAACCTCAAAATGCACTGACCAATTCACATAGATTCACTTATCTCATTAATTAAGATTCATAACTCTTATTATTGGCCTCCATTTTGTTTCCATTATTTTTCGCTTTCATACAAATGAACATATTACAAATGTTGGATTGCCCTTCAAAGCCTGGAGGGATAAATGGGGGGATTGGAATATCATGGCACCTTTAATATGATGACAGTGTTAATAAAATGATTTAACTACGCCATATCTGAACAAGCCTTTAGAGGTATGAATTTCAAACTTGGTATATAGTGAGACAATATGATTGGATTTTGGGTTAACCATGCATTGGCTACTGGATCTGGGTTGGTGCTATATCAAACAAAACGGGATTTGAAAATTCAGAAGTCATGGGTTAAGAAGGTCAAGGTTATCAAGTCATCTAGTAAACATGCAATTAAATAACCTTGTTATCACCATGTAAGCTAATTCAAAGCTGTTTTAGCTGGGAACTTAACATTTGCATTGAAGTTGTCTGCATTACCGTATGGAGACAAGCAATCATATTTTGGGATTGTCAGGTCAAAAGTCATAAAGATTAATTAACATGTAAGTATAGGCTTTTTATTCTTATGATATTTCTAGAATAATTCAAACCATGATCATAACAGAGGCATATTGGAGACGAAATCGTACTCCATCTTGAGTTCTTCCATTATTTGATTTCTTTTATCTGTACAGTGCGTCCTAGAAAAAACGAAACCGAGATTTATCGATGTTTTATTATAATTTAATCACAATTATAATTGATAAATGACACATGTTTGGAAAGCTTAGATCCTCCTCTTTCATTTGACGCAACTCATATAATGCATATTTGAGGCATGAGTGATTAAAATGAATTTGAAGAGAGGAAACCAAAAAGCAATTTGGCGGACGATATCTGAATTTCAAAGAGGAAATCACATTTCTAGAAAGTTGAGTTTTTGCCCTTTCATATGACACCTTAGTTAGGAAAAATGAGCTAGGAATAACAAAGTTCTGTTTGTTTAAAGTAGTGCTTGCATTTCCATAATTTCATTTAACAAATTCGTTTTCACTGGCTGCCTGCCGTAGCAACCAATGGAATTAACAAAAGAATTAACTCCGTTTCGTTGACAATCATCCATGCATGAAGTATTTCGTCTACGGCTGATTGTGTACGAAGCGGAGTTAAGTCTTTTGTCCATTCTGCTTATTGCTACGGCAGGCAGCCAGTGAAAACGAATTTGTTTGATAAAATTATGGAAATGCAAGCACTACTTTAAACAAACAGAACTTTGTCATTCCTTGCTCATTTTTCCTGCTGGTTGAGGTGTCATATGAAAGGGCAAAAACTCAACTTTCTAGAAATGTGATTTTCTCTTTGAAATTCAGAAACCTTCCGCCAAATGACTTTTTGTTTTCCTTTCTTCAAATTCATTTTAATCACTCATGCGTGAAATATGCATCATATGAGTTGCCTCAAATGGAAGAGGAGGATCTAAGTTTTCCAAATATGTGTCATTTATTAATTATAAATGTGACTAAGTTATGATAAAACATTGATAATTCTCGGTTTCGTTTTTTCTGGGACGCACTGTATTACCATCTATGCTTCATTCAATTACATATTTCAACCAGTTTTCTTTCATTTGTTTGTGAAGGGCCCATAACTCGTAATCTGCAGAAGGCCAGAGCACCTGTGATACCAAACAACATATGTCAGAGATCTCTGACAGGTTTCCATGTTTTGCCATCAATGTTCTGTACTATGTACGATACTGGATACCAGGATACTTGCACTGTAAGTTATACTTTTTTTCATAAAACATATATGTTTTTTTTTCAATCTTTTCTTATGTTATTTTCAATAGTCTACATCCATTGTTATTAAAGCAGCATAGCTCTGGTGGATTGGCATGAAGTCGCTTTTCACTCCAGCCCGGTCTTATTTTCAGATAAAGATTAATATTTCTGACTTAAGTTATACTGAAAAATATTAGAGCATTTAAATAACAGCCCATGACAAATATGTAATACAAATTTATATCAAATGCAATTTATGGGGATCAGAACTTAGAGTTTGTGGTGTTAAAAGAAGAAAAAAAAATCTACATGACCGAACTGATGATTCGATCCATCCATGTTTCTTTAATATAAAATACATACCACGCCATGTCTGTAGTAGAATACAGCACCAAATGAAAGAATGCAGCATCGATATGGATATAGAACAAAAATCTTCCTTGTTGAGGCTCAAATTTATTTTCCTTTTGTATGCTCCTACCCCCACCCCTTCAGAAGAACCCAGTCTCCTGGCACCACTGAGATATGTAATCCCCTCACCATTTCAGGCCCATGTTATCATCATTTTGTAATTTGTGTGAACTTCTTCAAATGAAAGAGTTTCATTTGGTGGTCACTTTGCTGTACTCATAGCCAGTAACAAAAGCAAACCCAGAAGGCAAACAAATCTGCTGTGTAATGGTATATGGAACTATGATATAACTTCAAACAGGACATGTATTTGTCATCACTCATTCGCTTTTTGTCTCTATTTAGGGTGATGTTGGGGGTCCACAAGTACAGGAGGTAAACGGTCGCTGGACTATCTATGGCATCACTAGCTGGGAAACTGTCTGTGGCAAAGCATACTCGCCATCAGGCAAAACTCGAGTTTCAAGTTTTATTGATTTCATCTATAAGACAATTCGAGAGGATGATTAACCAGAATTATACTCATACTACCAATCACTATTAAGCCCATATCAAATTTACGTCAAAACAATTGTAAAGACAAAGTTATTTCTACTAATTCAGTTAAATCCGACCCTGTGTCTAAGATCACTTTTAACAAAGGAAAGCTTATACCTCAGTTGAACGAAAGCTAAAGCCCAATTTTAGTAGAATGTAGGCCTTATAGATTTGAGACTAAATGAATATTAAATTATTCTCTACAAATCGCTATAAAACACCCATGACAAATTTATGTCAAAACGATTATGAAAAATGTTTTATCGATTTAATTCTTAAGACCATTTGAGAGATTAATTTATCAAATTATTCTTTATGAATCATTTTAAAATCCCATGGAAAATTGATGTCAATTGATCACAGACAGGCGCGCCAGAAGCAGTTTGGGATGGGGGGGGGGGGCAAACACTCCAAGGGGGCTCACCTTCCAGGGGCAGTGACGTAATGAGCAAAAACGTTTGGGAGGGGGGGGAAAAGAAAAATCTGCTTCACCACCACTCTTCAGCAGCCCCCGCAGAACGTTTTTTAAAGTGGAGTATTAACGATCAGGTAGAGCATAAATTGGCGTGGGGTCCAGGGCCTGAGCCTCAGCAGGGGGGTCAAAGGGCTGAGCCCCCGGAAGCTCAGGGTTTTTAGGCATTAAATTACGGTCAGATAAGCATATTTAGATACCTCATTTGTGATACTGGCAGGTCACTAATTGGCGGAGAGTCCAGGGAGCAGGTCCCCATTGAAGCTCAGGGGTTTTAATATTTAACTACGGTGAGGTGAGCACCCAGGGGCCGCCTTAGGGCCCTTGGTGGGGTCCAGGGGGCAGAGCCCCCCGAAGCTTGGGGGTTTTAGGTATTACGGTCAGATGAGCATCCAGGGGCCGCCTTAGGGCCCTTATTGGGGTTCGGGGCGGACCCCCTGTAAGCTTTGGGGGTTTTAGGCATTTAATTACGGTCAGATGGGAATATTTTGATACCTCATTTGTAACATTGGCAGGTCACTTATTTTTTCTCTCTTTCTTTTTCTCTGTAACATACTTTTTCAAAAAGTGAGGGGGGGGGGGGTGCCCCAGCCCCGAGCCCAGCCGTTTTGCAGACCATAATATAAAGGCTTCTAAATAAGCATATTTTTCGCCCGACTGTAAATTTAGGAATTTCTGATTTTCCAACAAACACATAATAAGGTATGACTTACAAAAAAATTGAGAAAAAAATACCAAGAAATCATGTCAATTCAGCAACTTTTGTAAATTACTGGTATCGAATAAGAAATACCCCCCCCCCCATCAGTACGCTAGCGTTCAGGGGGCTCATGTCTTCTCACTCCCATAACAAAAAAACAGACATGCTTTCCCATTCTCTCACAATATGTCCACGATATGCGGGTATCGCTATTATAAAAACCTCCATTGATAAATATAGGTGGCATGCGCAATGTTTAGGAAATTTAATTCCTGTTAAATTTCCTTTTTTTTTAATGGAATTTTATATGTAATTTAATACAGGTTTTTATTAATGTTATGTTCTTTTGGTTAAAAATACAAATTATCTTTACTTCCTTGCTTTTTGCCCCCCCCCCCCCCCCCACTTCCGGCGCCTATGATCACAGAGGCTTAATTTTTCATAAAGACCATTCTAGATTAATCCAGTCATTCTTAACAGTTCACTTTCGATTTATGTGTATGATTATATACATGACATGAAGGATTAAATTCAATTCAGTGTTTTTTTTTTTATATATATGAAAATAATTTTTCTTTTTACATTATTTTAAGGGGAGGTTCTTAGGGATGCCAACTTTGAGCGAGAGGTGAGAGTGAGACATTGCGAAGGGTAATGAGCACTTAATTTCTTTGGCAAATAAGCGGGGGTACGGGAGGGGGGGGGGTAGTGAGTTTTTTTTTCAATGGGAGGGGGGGGGGGTTATGGAGCACCATTTAAAAAAAAAAATCAACTAACAACTAAGCAAATAATGGCCTTCATAAATGTGCGACTCTTGGCAAATTGATTGGGTTTTTTGCTTATTACCACATTGCCGACCTGTTTTATAAATGTGATTATTCTAGTTTTAAAGCTTGTGTATTTAAACTGTGATATAGACTGCACTCTGTTAGGTCAAAATGAGCCTGATAATGACTTTGACCAGTCTTGTCCATTTTCCGAAAGTAATTTAATATGTGTGCAGTGCATATTCACTAATGAACTCACAAACATGAATTATTTGTTTACTATAGATTAATTGGAAATTGGTTTTATTTACCTTACCTATGTATATCAAATAGTGTGATGAATTAAAGTTTATGGTGTATATTTTTGTTATTTCATATCAATTAAGATGTTGCTTAATAATTATTGCAGGGACCCAATTAAAGGGAGATGAATTTTTAGGTATTTTTGCTGTAAAAGCCATTTCTCATGGGTCCATAATATGCAAGTATGTGTTTATTATATGACAAGTAATCAATGTATGGTGGGGAGGCCTGTGTCTGTAATCTTTGAAATATGTCTAGAATTTGTATACTTTATATTAATGGGAAATTGGTTTTATGTACCAAACATATGTATATCAAATAGTGTAATGAATTATAGTTTATGGTGTATTTTGTTGTGTTATATCAATTGAGGTGTTGCTAAAAAATTAATCGCAGGACCCAATTAAAGGGAGATGAATTTTTAAAGATAAAGACAGTAATGGTGATGCGATTGCATTGTGATAGAAACGTTGTGGAATCAATCAGAAAAGGTTGACCATCTAGCATATAAGTATTGGTGTGTACTACAAGGTTCTGGAATCATCAAAATGATAAAAAAATTGGGCCCAGTCTTTGTAAAGTTACAAGCACTGTACACAGAAAGATGTATATGGGACTACGCACACGTGCGCGACACGTGCGTTTATTTTACCAGGGGCGGCCGAGCGACTTCCAAAGTGGGGGGGGGGGGGCACCAACAAAAAAGGGCACCTACATTGGGAAATCTCAAAGCGAAAATATACCATTTTTTAGACATTGGTTTATACCCCTACATTGTGATTACATTATCAGGGATGATTTCATTATTTGTTTCTCTTCATACGTCATACAAGATATTGCTTAAGCATCATACTGTACAGTTGGGTGTGATGTCTGAAAATGCATTTACGAGCGAGCGAAGCGAGCGAGAAATATTTTAAAGATCTGTGAGGTCGCAGTGCGAAAATTTACATCTCATAAAGAGGAAAAAAGCCAATCGTGATGGGGTTATATTTAAAGCACATTCTCATAACGGAAGACTGAAAAGACCTTTGATAAGTAACATAATTATATCATCTTTAAATGCTAGCGAGCGAACTTTGGGGGAAATTGCTCTTAGTCGCTTTAAAAAGGGGCACGTTTAATGATTACATGAAAAGGGGGCAATTATTCGAAAGGGATAAGACACTTATTAGAAAAGAAAAGGAGCATGTGTCAAAGTACAAAGGATAATTATAAGAGGTGAAATTAGGCATTTTTTCACCTTAAATGAGGCACTCACCAGTGATGAAAAAGAGCCGTTTACGAAAATGGGAAATAGGCATTTCTTGACGGAAAAGGGGCACCCATCAGATTTTGATAGGGGCATTTATAAGAGGTGAAAAGGGGATAGGTTCCTTATTAGAAAGGACAAGGGGCACGTATCATTATTAAAAAGGGGAATTATCAGAGGTGAAAAGGGACACTGACCAGATATGAAAAGGTGCACTTATGAAAATGTAAGAGGGCACTTATAATAAAGGAAAATGTGCATTTGTTGAATGAGAAGGGGGCACTTATTAGAAAGGGAAAGGGGTAGTTATGAGAAGGGGAAGGAGCTCTCTCTTTTTAATGGGGGCACTTATAAGGAAAAGGAGCACTTATTAGAAAATAAAAGGGGCATATGTTAGAATGAAAGGTGTGCTCATCCGAGTTTAAAAAAGGGGGAGTTATTAAAAGGAGAAGGGGCACTTCTTACAAAGGAAAAAAGGGGCAGTTGTCAAAGTAAAAGGAGCACCTCTCAGTTTTGAATAGGGCAATTATCAGAGGTGAAGGGGGCACTTGTCAGAAGTGAAAAGGGGCACTTCTCGTACCTGAAAAGAGGCACTTACTAGAGATTAAAAATGGCACTTATTCAAGATAATTTCAAGATTCATGAGAATGGAAAATGGACACTTATTGCAAAGGAAAATGACAACATGTCGAAGGAAAAGAGGCACGTGTCAAAAATAAAAAGGGCACTCGTCAGAGGTGAAAAGGGGGAAGGGGCACGTTTACTTAGTAATAGGGGCACTTGTCAAAGTAAAAGGGGGCACTTTTGGGGTAGAGTGGGGGGGGGGCACTGTGCTCCCCCCCGGGAGGGCCGCCTCTGTCTCTCACACACCAATAGATAAACTAATTTACCAAATATATCAATTAGTAGGCGGTTTCCCTGCAAAATTTTTATCATCGTGTATTAGTCAAAACATCTTCTTTCACATGATTGGTAATAAGAGCTTCCATTTTATTTTTTGAAATTGGGGCGTTTCCAATACTGGTCTTTACCTTTAAGTATTTTTGATGTAAAATCCATTTCTCATGGGTCCATAATATGCACATATGTGTTTATTATATGACAGTTAATCAATGTTGGGTGGGGAGGCCTGTGTCTGTAATCTTTGAAATATGTCTTGAATTTGTATACTTTATATTAATGGGAAATTGTTTTTTTGCACCAAACATATGTATATCGAATAGTGTAAAGAATTGTAGTTAATGGTGTATATTTGTGTTGTGTCATTGTCATATCAATTAAGATGTTGCTTAATAATTATTGCAGGGACCAAATTAAAGGGAGATGAATGTTTAGGTATTTTTGCTATAAAAGCTATTTCTTAGGGGTCCATAATATGCAAGTATATGTTTATTGTATGACAATTAATCAATATATGGTGGAGAGGCCTGAGTCTGTAATCTTTAAAATATGTCTAAAATTTGTATGCTATATATTGAT